AGCAGGAGGGCACAGACACATTCACAGGTGTGGAGCTATGAACTGCAGTAGCTGCTTACACTGGCTGTCCAGTTTGAATGACTCCTGTCCAGCCATAGATGCTTGCAGGGAGGTCTCTGGTTGGGTACAGCTGATCTGCTCATGGGGGCAGTGTTTTCTCTAACACAGCTGTTTGTGCAAAGTGTTACAAGGAGATCTTCACCTTGGCTGGTTTTAAACATTGTCACTGACCTACACAGTGAGGTAAAAGTGCATGGAAGGCTGCTGGCTTCTGTTTTGTGTAACTTGCAGGGACTTAACCTTGGTATCGGCTTGCCTGAACAACTACTGAGTTTTAACGTCCTTTGGGAAATGGAAGCCCGTGGTTAGTGGTTTTCCTTCTCCAAATACACTCTTCCCTTATGTGGGCTTACTGCAGCAACCTTTCGGTAGCAGGAAGAAGCAGGTTTGAGAAATGCCCAGCTATGTGATATGTTCCTTGTGCCATCCTGCTCTCATCCAGGTCCTTGACTCTTTCTTTAACATGCCTGTGCAGCTGTTTGGATTTTGGATGGCATTTATGTGTGTGCCAAATGCTCTTTGTGAGCAAGTTTTCATACCATTTTTCCTAGCTTACATGCATCTAAAAAACTTATAAAGAACTAAATAGCTCTCTGAGGCTTTATGGCATTTCTAACAGAAACTGTTACTGCATTATAACAATTATAAGTATGTTCTGAAAGTGCAGTAGGCCAGTGGCATCAGCCCCTCTTCCTGAGTGTGCTGCTAGTCTGGTGTTGGCTGCACAGTCTCTACAGGACTATTCATTCAAGTGTGTAATTCCTTCCCGGTAGTCAAGTTGTCTCTATGAATAAAGCTTGCCTTTCCTTTCTTTCAGTTCTGGGAAATCCAGTTAATTACACAAATGAGTGCAAACGTTACGTGTTGAGTCAGTAGCATGGGGGAAATAGTAATGTGGCTTCCTGCCCTAGACCAGCCTGCCTTCCCGAATTCTCTGTTCTGAATACAGCATAGCTGTAACCCAGCTGTTTAATGTGAGAAGTCATGTTGCTTGCTCCTGCAGAATGTGAAGGAGCAGATGGTGGTGTTACATCTGGAGGGGAAAAAAAGATATACCTATAAGAGCCAAAGTTCAGTTTGGGAACATTCTGGGATTACACACTGCCTGATATTGGCCTGACTTTCCTTGTGGAGGCTTTCCTGTCAATTATGTGGTTCAAGGTTGTTCTTCATCAGGGGTGCAGCAGTCCTTGTTTTCTCTGATGTAAACTCTTTGCTGTATGTCACTATACCCAGGTGAAGAAGTCTGGAGGTGTCTAGGATGCGGGGACAGCATTGCTGCTGGTCAGCGCCTCTACAAGACTGTCAGTGAAGCTTGGCACGTTTCCTGTTTCCGGTAGGTAAAACTTTAGCTCATTAAACTTTCCCTGTGTGGTTCAGCTGGGTTGGGACCTGGTGGGTGCAGCTCCAGCATTAACCATGAGTTCTTGCTGTCACCTCTATCCAAGCCTCTTGCTGAGCGATAGTGTGCTCTTGTTTGCTGTCCTTCAGCGCTTGCAGGAGTGCTCTGGAGCTGACTTTCAGTCCCAGTAAGAGTCTGACACTGCCTGGCGAAGTGCTGCCATGCTGACGCAAACAGGAGTACAGATAAAGTCCAGATGAAAGCTCTGATTTACTGGTGGTGGCAGAAGCCATGGGTTACATATTTGTCTTCAGCTGCATTCCAAAGTAGTGCCCAGGCAGTTTGGATAGCCTGTTGCCATTTCCGTATGTGGTAGGTACAAGGAAGATATCCCAGTGTTGGGGGAAAGCTTGTTTTGCTTCCTCTCCCTTTCAGACTCTTAAGACATAGAAACTTATGAAACCTGTTGGATAACGTTGCTTTCAGCAAGGACAGAAAGGGATCTCTGAGGTGCTTTTCTTCCTGGTGGTAAGAGGAGTGCCTCTCATTGGTGTTTTATGAAAACTCAATTCAGTTTTCATGCTCCAAAATCACATTTCTGAAGGGGCCTTTATTATTGAGAGGGGTTGAGTACCTGCAGCTTCTACTGGCTGCTGTGTTGGCCTGAACCTGAAGAGGCTGATGTTTTGGCTACTGTCAAAGGAAATGGGGAAGAGGAAGCCCAAGTGTGGCTTGGAGGGATGTTTGCTGTGCCAAGGTAGACATCTACTGTCCTGGTTTAGAGAACTAAAAATCTCCAACAAAGTACCCCAACTTTGTTGAAGTGAAGAATATGGTTATGGGTATATTAAAGAAAAAAGGCTTGTCGTGCTGCCGAAGCAGTGCCAGCTCTGTTGACTTGCAGAATGTTGTTAATTACATGTTGATAATCACAAGTACAGCTTTATATCAATACAAACCAGACTCTCTTGGGTTTCTACTGGTTTGAGTATTCATGTTTAGCTATGTTGAGTCAGCTTGTCTTAATTCTGTTTTTCTCTTCTCCCTAAAGAACTAGTATCCTATTGTTGAGCTTCCCTAGATTGAGTCAGTAGCCAAACCCAAAGCTGTGTGTCCTTGTAAGTCTGTCTTGCCTTTGAATATATTTCTATTGTAGGTCTTGATTTGCAAATGTCTTGGTGCATCTTGCTTTTGGGGCTGTTGAGCTAAATAACAGCAGATCTGGAGGCAAATCCTTATGACACTTCACAGAGGATTTGCTATCATGGTTTATATCATATAATGGAAGTTTGGTGGGTTGTTTGCTTGTTTGCTCTTTAGAAGTGAAGACACCAGCTCTTCCCCTGAGTTGTGTAATGACTTTGCGTTTCCTCATGGGCTTCTTTTGTGCTCTGTGCTTTTGGCCAGCTCTAGCACCCAGCTACGCTGCCATGCTGAAGGAACAATTGGAGCCTGCAGTGAAGGAAGCTGCCCTTCCCTTTTTCCTAGTTCCAGAGTAGGGCTGTGCATGAAAACAAATATCCAGTTTGCACTCTGTTCTGTTTCCTTCTGTTATCCCTAAACCACGCTGAGCAGCAGTCTTGTGCTTGATATCCCAAAGCCAAACTTTAAAAAGCCTTCAAGGGTAGGAGCCTTTGGCAGCTGGGAGCTGTGAGTTCCGGCGGCTCTTGTGGAGTGTTTTTTACAGTCTTCCTGTGGATTAGCTGACTCCCTGGCCTGGCACACATCATTTCTCTAATGCTGCTTGGCACTGCTCCAGGCTTGTTAGCTCTGTTTATTCTTGGTCAGGCTAGGCTGCTGATCATGCTTGGCTCTGGCAGTAGCTGACGTACATGCATGTCCCTGAGGATTTAGGTTTTTTGTCACTTCCCTCCTTCCTCAAGCTGCATGTACAGGAGCTTTGTCTCTGAGACCTGTGAATTTTCTCTGCTGTGGCTGGAGGGACAAGCAAATCCCTATTCGTGTGTCTTGGATGTTTTAAACTGTTCTTTGGCCAGCTGGTCCTTAGGCTCAAATCCGATGGGTTGGATCTGGTTCAGGAAGTTTCTTAGATGTTTCTGTTGCAATATCTGTTGTGAATTAACTCTGAATGTACTTTCGTGCCTCTGAATTCTGTTGAGACAGCATACACTTTCAAAGGTCATTACTTTTCACTGATAACACGGTTCCACTGGCTTTGGGACTTACTGCACAGAACTTCAAACACTGCATCAAGAAAGGGAAAGAGAGAAGTGGAGTGGTGTCTTTTTCCTAAGTCTGGATCACTTTTACCTAAGGGGATTATTGGAAGAGTTTTTTTTCTCTGAGCATACTGTCCTTACTGCTTTCAGTCCAACTTTTTTCCCTATTACAAAATAGAAGATACTGCCTTGAATTATACCTTTGAATAAACTGTTGATACCTGGTATTTTGATGTCCATTGTTACATTTTGTGGTGTTTGATTTGTTCTGTGCTCCCCCCAAGACAAATGAAATTAAAACCAATTCCCTCTTTCTGTAGGGATAATCCATATTTGAATTGGAGTAGGATGGTTTGAGAAGACCCAGATGCGGTTGCATGGTTTAATCTTAAGGACAGAGTATTTGTTAAAAATCCAGTTTTGATTATTTGAAACCATGAATTCAGATCAAGCCTCTTAAATAGGTCCAGCTGGAAAATGCTTCTGGATCCAGATGAAGGAAATCATTGGAAATGGTGGCAGGAATTCCTACTGTAGCAGGGTGCTTAAAAACTTTTTAGGAAGGAAGAAAGCTAAGGTTCAGTTCCTTCCTAACCATGGAATAGCAAGAGGATGTATATGAGTATGGTCTATAAAATAAATCTGATTGAAGTGGCCAAGTAACACAGGCTTGCTGCAGGAATGTCAAACAAAAGCCAAACCCACTACATCAGAGAGAAACTGCTCACAGTAAATCTCCAACAGAAGTTACTGAAGGTGATGGATTACTCGTGATTTCACAGTTGCAGGTTTAAAAATATACTCTTATTTTATACCAAATCAACCAATTAAAAGCTGAAACATCACCAGGGGTTTGAAGAGCAGGAAAGCTCATCTTCCTTTTTCTGGGAGAGGAAAGGAGAGCAGAGAAATTCTGTATGAATCCAAGGGTTTTCATTAGTAGATCTAAATCACTGGAGATGATGGTGACCAGAAGCGATAAATTCAGTTTGGACAAATATCTCCTTTTTGCTTCATACATCGCGGTTTTATGCATATGCAATGCTGCTGGACCTCAGGAAATGTTCTCATGGCTTTCTGTGGTTTTTTAATTATATTATGAAATAGTTTGAAACTAACTTAATAGTCTAACCCACCATATGACTGGAAATGTAGGCTTTTGATATCTGTTGGTATTAAATATATATATTTTATATATATATACATATCTATTGAATAACAGAAAAATATAAGTATATATTGAATCTTTTTATACTGATGAGGTATTACATTATTATATTTAAGTAATTGTAAGCAGTAAATTGACTTTCCAGAGATGATATTGGCTAAAATGAAAGAACGTCTTGAAATAGTTAAGAAACTGTTTGCACTTGTAAAGAAACCCCTGAAGTAATAAAACAAAATTGATTGTTTAAATCACAATAGAAATTGCTTTATTACCTAGGGTTAAATCAGTCCACCTGACAGATTGCTAAGGGTTCAGGTATTTGCACTCTTTTTGAGTGTATTGCTTCATTTCCATTTGTGTTAACCTCTGCTGGAGCTAGAAGCTAAATCACGAGGAGCGCTGTAACCACCAGAAGGCTGTTTTCTGTAAATGAATACTTGGAGAACTGGAAGGGCTTTGGCAGAGCGCAGGAGAGCTCCTGGCTCTGTCCCCTGCCAGTATTCTGAAGTGAATTTGAAATAAATCCTCCTTCTGACTGCTTCTCAGGAGTGGAACAAGGTTAAAAGTAGATTCTTCCCAGAATCCCTCGTCTCCCACCCGCTGTGTGCTCTCTGCAGTGGGACAATTGTCTGTGGACAGAAACCAGAACTGGATTAGCTGCCCGTGCATCGAGGGGATGCCTCAGCTCCAGGCTACTGAGCAGAAAGAGAACCACTATTAATTTGCCAAGTCTAGTGGTTTGATTGTCTTACAAAGCCATGATTTTTCTATACTGAATGGCATAGTTTGTGTGCTATAGAAATACCTTTTGCTCAGCAAAACTTAGTGAATCACTTCAATTCTTTTTCCATTTGGGGGCAGGGCAAGGCAAGAAGGCAAATTCGTAGTAAGAATGTATAGAGTTATTCCTGTTTTGGGGGTTGCAGGGTAAGCTAGATGACTTCTGAGGGTATCTATCTTCTAAATCTATTTTCTGTTGTTCTTACAATATCTACTGAGCTTCAACTTACGCTTGAAGCAAGTAACTTCTATGGCTTAGAACTGATCATTCCTAAGAAGCTCCCATCACTGTAGGTTTTTGCTCTCCCAGGCCATGTCTACTATCACTTACTTATCCTTAGTGTTAGAAACTTCTGTCTACTATCTTTGAAAATCTCTTGTTGCAATTTAAGTTAATTTCTTCTATTAATGTTCACAGTGGGCATGGAAAACAAAGCTTTTTTCCCTTCTGTTATTGCAATAACCTATTCCTGTTTGAAAGCAGCAATCTCCCATCAGCCTCTCCTAGATTGAAGAAGCCCTGGACCAAGCTTTCTCATATAGATTCTGTTTTCTAGACCTTGGATCGCTTCTGTTGGTTCAACCTGTTTGGCACAGGCCTTTGTTTTCAAACACTGCTTCCTCCCCACAGACACCAGGACAAATAGATCTACAGTGACAGGGTGGGAAGTGCAAATGTTGATAACTATTGAGATGAATTTGAAATGTGGGGATGTTTGATGCTTTGAACCTTCTTTTAGCCTTTCAGCTGTGAACAGTCAGGTTTGTACACACAGCAGCTGAATTTGGAGGAGGTGGGAGAGGAGATCAGTAACAAAAGTCAGTTTCACTATAGTAAAAGAAGGAAGACAAGAGTCTCCTCCTCTGTCTTCTCCAGTTTCTGGCAGTTACAGAAAGCTAATGATAGGGCCTCAAAGGTGAGAACCCTTCTCCACTAATCCTACAGACTCCTGGGAATGTCTCTTTGATGGTGTCTCCATCAGCATTGAAATTCAGCAACTCACTATCAGATTTAAGGAGAAACAGTTGCCAACTGCCTGTTTGTACACAAATCACCCTGTCTATTCAAGAGCTTAAAAATCCAAAAGAACAATGAAGCATTTTGCAGGTGAAAGCAGCCACATTCCTCAGGGGAGTATATCAGCTACAGGACACCAATGAGGAGCCTTTATATTTAAGGAGGAGTTGGACATTCTGGTCTGGACTTCTTTTAGTTGACTTTTGGAGCTTGTCCTTTAGGGCACTGTTATCAGAGCATTATTATGTCAAGGTAACTGGAATTACTCACACAGCCCAGTATGTGGTAGGCTTTCCACATGAGTGAGACAGGATCCTTCCCCGAGGAGCTCCACGGTCTGCACAGACAAAAGTAGCAGAGCATTACCAGATCACAAGTCACTCTTCCAAAGCCATAAATAACCTATGAAGTTTAGGTTGAATTTCTTTGCTTTGCTTCTCAGCCTACACACATTCAGGAGGTCTGCAGCCATTAGGCAAGTATGGTGGAGGTTAAAATTCTGTCTCCATCCTAACGTTGTGCTTGGTGATGTTGGGTACCCAGAAGTTATCACTGTGTGGGTATGAAGTTCTGCTGCTGCTTATAAGTAAGATGCATTGATGGAGACGAGCTTCACTTCACTGTTCATTTTGGTTTACTCAAGAGCTGTGTGCTGGAGCTTTCACTCGGAGCTGTGTGCATATCAGTTTCAAAGCTCAAGTCAGGGGCTGACTCTTTCAACAGCAGCAAAGCACGTGTTATGTATAAGTGCCTTGGAAGTACAATGAGGTGTTGGGATTGTACTAAAGTATTTGGAATGCCTCCAGACTGCGCCCATGCTGAAACAAAGACTTGCTGCAGACTTCAGGCATCAAGCAGATGCCTCTTCCCCAGTTTATACCAGTCCCACACATACCTAAGTGCCTGTCTGTGCCAGGATAAATTTGTCTATCTTAGGGCTGGTAGATATGCTGAGCAATACATCTGTCTGTAGACATGCATGAACCGTGTGGTAAAGAGGGTGTCTGGATGTGCAGCCTAACCCCAGCTGGTTTAAGAGATTAATCACTGGAATATCACAATAGCTGTGGTGCATTTCTGTGGGGATAAAACTAACGGCTGTGAGTTGGTTTGCAATAAATTTCACATTAAGTCATTGTCGGGGTTTTTCATTTGCTGGTTTTTATTTGCTAGTTACATTTTTCAGGCTTCTTACAGGGAAAAAGAATACTGTCCAAATCTAAACCATAGCAAGGAAACATCACAACTCTGCTGTGATGGCTGCACGTTTGTAGTGGAAATGCTGTCAGCATTTGCAAGAGAGAAGATGCTGGTATCTGACTTTAGATGGTGTTAAATTTGCTGCAGTGCATTTTGGCCCCTGGAGATGGTATCAGTAAAATTACATAGAAGAGTTCCCCCCACACACACCTGTTTATCAGCATTTCTGAAGTACAGTCATTCTGGCAGGAATTCAGATCTAGGATGTATGAACACATTAACAGCTTTTCCAGAGCACTATTATCAGAGCTATTGTGTTCTCACACAATAAAGAGACAGAAAAAAAGGCAAGAGGTAACAAGAGAGTATAGGAAAAAGTAACTTATTGGGGCCTGCTGCAAAAGTAAAATCATGTTGATGTTTCCTGTTTAAATAGGCATTTGACTGTGTGTCCCTTGGCTTTAAGGAAGTCTCAAACAAAATCTCTTCCCAGTTGCTTAGCTGTCTGGGTGGTTTTTATTACTTTGAAGTCGGGCTTTATCTGCTGGCTTCATTCACAGACTAGCTGGCTGCTTATCGCATCTGCGGATCAGCTCTTCAAAGGTTTCGTCTGCAGAGTTGGGATTTATGGGGTCACGTGGAATTCCCCCTTGGAGGGAGTTCAGCCCATGGCAGCAGAATTGTGGGGAAGAGCCTTTGTCTGTAGGTGATAGCGGGCAGGGGAGGGGCTCTGCGATGCACGGGAGGTATGTGAGTGCTGTGGGGTGGTGCTGATAGCTGGGGCAGCGCTGGAGTGTGAGCGCTGGCGCGTTTTCAGCACGCATCATATAGAGAATGTGGGAGACCAGAGCGCATTCCTAGACACAGACTCACCGTGTTGCTGCTTCCAGTAGAGCTGTGTGAAATGTCAGAAGGAATTAGACCCGTGCTGGAGCTGACAACCGCATCGGGCTCTGCAGCGCTAGGCTTCACTGCACGTTTACAGCCAGGGTTAGAAACTGCACAGAATGGGTGGAAACGGTGGTGGTTTGTTTGGGGTTTTGTTTTGGATGCGGTGTGGGGGTCTTGTTTTGTTTTCCAGAAAGGTGACTGCCTATGAAATGTCAAAAACCAAGGCAAACCAACCCAAAAGGCTGCCTGGCTTTCTGCTTACTTCACCAGAGAGCAGCAGCTGTCAAATCTGCAGCCAAGACTGCCTCATCGCAGCCCCAAGAGTCCCTTGAACAATATGCCAGCTGAACAAGCATCTCCAGTAAAAGCACACTGGAGTATTCGTGCCTCTGGAACACAGCATTACTTTCAGGCTGTGTTCAGGCATGCCAGGCTTTGCTGACTGTACAGAAATGGGAAGGGCTCAGTGTAGCAGCGTATGTTTGTTGCAGTTCTGACTGTCTTGCAAACAGTTTTAGCTGTTAAGAGATCATGCTTGGCTTCAGAGCAAGCAAAATGATAAAACTACATGTGCTGCAAGCAGGAGAGAGGTCTCATCTGTGCTGATTTGTATCTCTCAGCTTCCATTCAGGAGATTAAGATTAGGTTAAATGACTGCAATGATCTCTGTTAGAAGAGTGCTGGAAAGAAAGTGATTTTTCTTTGGATGAAGCACACTGAGAGTGTGCTGCAAGAGGAGGAACATTGTAGGTACTGTGAAGGTAGTCTAAGCCTGCTCACTGTGGGGGGTTTAGGAAGGTATGTAGTGAACGTTAGCGTGGTGTGGTTGGAGGTGCGGCTAGTTGTCTGTGTCAGACGCTGCCTTCCTTGGCATTCTCCATCAGAATGTGCCCTGCTGCAAAGAGCAGTTTCCCGTTTATGCACTTGGCTCTTCCTTTGGCAAGAGCTGCTATCTTTCAGCACTTACTAACACAGCCCCTCTTTGGATCAAAGCTCCACCCCTGGTGTAGAAGTGGAGCTTATTCAGGCTCTGTAGCCACGGGCTGTCCTCCCGCCATGGCTCCTCCTCCCCTCCCACCCTTGGGTGGAACCAGAGAAGGGAAAACTTGACAATAGTTAGCAGGCAGCAGAGCTTGCAAGAACTATTGCAGAAGCATGTCCAACTAGCCCGGTCAGCCGCTATTGTATCCTTCCCAAGGGTGCTGCTGCTGCCACTGAGTGCAGGAGAAGATGGTTATAGGCATGAGAGCCAGGCAAAGTCTGAAAAGGAATGAGCAGCCGAGAGACCTGGCATTCCTTGGGCAGCTTCAGAGAGAGGTGAAGTATCTGAATCAGCGCAAGATTAAATGAGCACGGGCTGCTGCCATGTTGGCAGAACAGAGCTGTTCAGAGGCAGTTGGACAAGTTTGTGGCTGAGCCGGTTTATCCAGTGTTGAAGATGGGAAGTTACTTGTCTGCCCCAGCTTACTTCGCTCCCAAGGATCCCTTTCGGTAAGTCTTGTGCAGGATTAGCAATTGACCTTCCAAGTGTCATTTTACCCTCTGTAATGCTACCCTATCCTATCCTAAGCAGTTAGCACACGAGGTGTGAAGATCGTGGGCCAGTGCTTGTGTGCAGGGAACAGCCGGCCTCATACTGGGATCCTGTCTTGCTTGGAGGAGGCGATGGGAAAGATCCTTATTGCCAGCCTCTGCAGCTCTCTGGTACAAGGGTATGGCACCTGTGTTGTGAGACGGTGTCTGTGCAGCCCAGCAAGCAGGCTCCCTTGCAGAACAACACTACATGTGCTACTTTACCCTGTGCCCCTGTGCTTTGCTCTGCCACCAGAGGAATGAGATTACTATGGCTGCTGCTGCATATGTCTCTTCCAAAGCTTGGGTATAGCATAGGGTGAAGTGAGGTGCTGCTGTTGGAAGTTCGAGGAGGTGATGTAATCTGCTGTGGGGCAGTGCATAATCTTTTTGTGAAAAGAAATAGGTACTTTGCAGATAACTAGGGACAAGCAGCACACTTCCCTTATGTGGAAAAGATTCTTCTCCTGTGATACTCTAGTTATATTAACAACCATGCTTGGTCCAGTTGAACAAATGAGGGTTGAGAAAGGTGACAGCTACAGAATAAGGCTTTGATTGCATTACATAGTGAAAACTGTTAGTGGGGCTGAACCCAGGATGGTGACTGATGCTGATGTGCTGATAAGGTGAACGCATGGGGAAAGGCACAGCTTGCAGTTTCATTGTCTCCCTTCTATCCCCTCCACTCCAATTTGCTCATTATTGATCCTGTTCCTGCAAACACTTTTGTACTGCTTTGGGAGTAAGGAGCCTTTTGTTAAAACAGTCTAGTATAGGAGTAAATACCACTGTGGAATTACTAAGCTTCTTTAGGAGACTTTCTGAAACAGCATCAGCTTTCAGAAGAACGAAAGTTAGAAGACTTCTGTTATTTATAATATGTGTGGGGCATTACTCTAGGCCATAGGTACACCTTCTCCTAAGTGTCTCAAAATGGTTTTGCATTGCCAGAGCTTAAACACTCTGTCTTCTAGTACTGAATCTGTTTTCTAGCATCCATTCTTCCTTGTTTAGCATCTCTTGTGTAGCCAGCACACACACCTCGGCTAAACCTTTGGGTTAGCTACAGGCTGGGGTTACGTGTTACTCTGCAGCTTTCTGTCTGCGTGACTGTCCTCTCCCCTGCTCTGCTGCAGAATTGGCACCACAGCTCTTCTGAGCCTGTCTAGCGTTAACTGATCCAGCCTGACAGTATGTGTGAGGGGTGCACTTTGTTAATGAGCCCTTCTCAAAGGGATCTGTCTCTTCAGTGCCAGGGATGGCTTTGCTTCCATGAGGGTATTAGCTTTCATTTTAGATGTAAAAGAGATGCCACATCAATTGAATCTCCCATCTCACTGAAAACCAGGCTGGATACCTGTTGTGACCTGATCCTCCTACCACCCCCCACAGAAACAAGGGGCCATCAAGGAGCTATTTGTGAACTCTTTCTGCACCTGCTGTGCTACAGAGCATCAGGGCTGAACGCTGCACTCGGTGCTGTCTGGGGTTCCTGGAGGATGGCTGTGGGATGCAGGTTAAATTAATCTTTATAGCCACGGCTGTTAAGTGAAGAATCATAATGTATGGGACTGTATAATCAGAGCAGGGCTCTGCAGCTCTGAAAATGGTGGCTGGGCAGCAAGAGGAAAGAAACACCTCAGGTATGGCTGTTACCAGTCCTCCAAGAAACATCGTTACCATGCTTTGTTACTCTGTAATAAGAATAACAAATTATCTAGGAGAAGATAGTGGTTTCTAATAAAAGACAGAGGAGCAAGAAATCTTCCTCTTCCTTTCCTTTGGTTGTGGTGACTGGCAAAGATTTGGTGCTTAATACCTGTGGAAGTAATTGTATTTCTGTCTCAGCTCATGCGAGCCCTGGCAATGGCAGTGCTGCAGTGCCACACACTCTGAATGAGGAGGGAAAGGAAGCAGTGATAACTCTTATGACATATCTGTTAATGAGAGTCATGTGGAACAGTCATGTGATCCCTTTATGATTTGGGTGAAGGCACTGAAATAGTCGAAACAGGTCTTGAAGCTGTACCTGTGTGCTGTCAGCCAGTTCTCCACACCTGGCAAATATAAAGCCTCTTCTCCATTGCAGAATGCATGGCCAGTATCAACAGAAGGTGCTGCTTGGCAACGCGGGCCATGGCCATGTCCTCTTGCTGCAGTCATTAAGGAAGCAGCCACTTAGCTCCATTACCAGCATCTACCCTCTCTGGGCTGGTTGCTTTGTTCCTATTGCCTCATTGCCCTGGGTGGGGTTCTGAGCCTTAAGCTGCAAACTTGTCCTGCCCAGATTTGTTTAATTGCATAGCAAAGAACTGACTGCTTGCTGGCTCCACCCCTCTACCTTGATTTTGCTATGGGTGTGTTGCGAATTAGATACCAGTGCTTATTTCTGGATGGAAGTAAACTAATCAAAGTGCTGTAAGGTTGGAATCAAACCATGAAGAAGTAGGGGAAGGGTAAAGAGAAGACCAAGTGTATGTGACCCTCTGGAACCCATCTAAATGGAACTGCAGGTGTGTTGCTTTTGCAGTAATTTTAGATTTTCTTAGGGAGAAAAAGGAGTGGTTGAAGGTGAAATTGAAGAGGGGTGAGGAAGGGAGAGTGTTGTGCTTAAAACCAGCTAAATAAATAACCCACCTGCTTGGAGAGAACTTGGACAGACAGTGAAGTCTTGAGGTCCTGGCGGAGCAGTCTCCAGAGTTGCTGTCTGCATCCCAAGTGCAGGTCTGGTCACAGCTCCCTGTTTGAAGATGTAATCACCCTCGAAGCACGCACTGGTACAGGCATGCACACAGGAGTTGGATAAGTCTGAGGGATCCGATTTGTCCATGCTGAGCCAGATGTTCCTGCCACAAGGTGATAGAAATCTTTGCTGTTAGTCTCCACTTGCTCTTTTCTCCCTCCCACTCACCTACTTGATCACTCAGCGTGGGGTATTTACTGCAAATGAAAGCCAAAGGCTAGTGGGTGAAGGCAAAATGCATTGCAATGCCTTCTAGGTCTCTTGCATACCATGAGCAGGGTGTAACTATGACAGTGCCCCAAGGCTGAGGCTGTAATGATGCTTGTACCATGTATAGTATAGCAGTGTTATGTTAGTGCTCCCCCTGCCTCACACAAAATTGGCAGGGCCTGCTGCACATGCTGGGGTTCCTTCCCATCACTGAAGAAGGAGCGGCTGAGGGGGAACAGGATTTGGAGCTCCTCAGCTGGGAGAATAAACACTGTAAGAGCCAAATCCATTAGAAGGAACAACTTTCCTGAGGTCAGGGTACAGCACTAAATACCTCATGAGGTGTGTTTTTCCCTAAAACCAGAGGCTGATTGCAAGCAGCTTCACCTTGTTGCTTTACAGTCTCTTGAGATGGAGTAAATAACTCTCTCCATGTTGGAGCACGACCAGCTTCGCAGATCATCACACTCATTACAAGCTGGTGGAGTTTACGAGGAATGTCTCTGGCACAAATAAGCTTTCAGGAAGCTTGTGAAAGATGAATTCTACAACATGGTACACCTGGCAGCATGTAGAATGTTCACCTCCACTGCCACTAGCTGACCTCAGTGCATTTGGTGCCTTCTAGGGGGGCACGCACCCACTGAAACTCCCACCCTGGTGCCAGGGCTTCCCCTCTAGTACAGTACCTGAGACAGCTGTTGGGGTAAGGGACAGCTCTTCCTTCCGCCTTTGGGAAAGCATCTTGCTGACAATGATGCTGATCCTTGAGGTGTTCCTTTGAACCAGTTACTGGTGACTCACCCACCTTGGATTCTGTGCTCAGAAACTGAGATACCAGGTTAGTAATACCAGATTAGTAATATTGGATACCAACACCACATTAATTTCCCTTTTAAAGTCTGAGAACATGCTGCCCAGGGCTAATGGAATAATCTTTAGTGATGCAACTGCTGTCTGTGCCTTATCTCTCCATTAAGTCACACACCTTCACGCTGCAGATGTTAAACTCCCTTGCCTGGTGCTGAGGCAGGATTATTTTGTGTTCAGGAAGCCTCAAGTTCTGGGTTCTGCTTGTGATTTGCTAAAATGACGTCTGTAGTAGAATTGCTGCACCTTTTTCCTTGTTTTTTTTTGGGAAGGAAGGGAGAGTAGATAGAGGATTAATGGCTGCTTGTTGAACGGGAGCTGCCACTGGTATCTGAAGGATTTTGAGACTCCCTTCATGAAATTAGACAACTAGTTTTGTTTTGGGGTTTGTGGTTGTTTTGATTGGTTGGTTATGTTTGGTTTTGTCTCATGCACTGTCATCAGCAGAAGGAAAGGGAAAGCAATTGGTGGGGAGAGGTGGAGGACTTTCATCACTGTTAATTGGCGAATGCAGTAAGTATGTGGAGTTCAAAGGATGCCCTGCTTTGAAAACTCTCCTTCAGATGGACAGTGCTGCAGTTTACCTTCTGGGAGAGGCCTACCCACAGAAGAACAGAAAAGCTTTCCACAAAGCAAAACTGGCTTTGCTTTGCATAGGAAAGTGGGTCCTGCCCCTGTCCTGCTTCCTAAACTGGCTGAGGAGATAGATGCTCTGGCACAAGAACAATGTGATGCTATAGAAACACAGCAGAACCCCGTGTGCAGGGCAGCCCTGCAGCTGGAAGCTTGCTTCCAGGAAGAGGGAGAAAGCACAGGAGCAGAATCTGTAATGCAGAATCTATAAACTTATTGATGTGTTTTAATAAATGGATGGGATTTGCTTTAAACTTTGGAAGCTTGTCTTTTCCTTTGCATTGGGTGATACCACCTCTCCTTACAAACCCTGTGTCTAGTTCAGTTGAAAAGGCTTTGGGAAATGGAGGGGTTTAACATATCCATAACTGGAAGAGCTGATGGTGAGCTGCTGCTGAATGTTTTTTCTGTGCAGGAGAGGCCCTTTTTCATTGGTTTGTGACTTGTTGCCAACTGGAACTTTGTTCCTTTGTTTCCTTCAAGGTGCTCTGAATGTCAGGATCCCCTCACTAACTGGTACTATGAGAAAGATGGGAAGCTGTACTGTCACAAAGACTACTGGGGGAAGTTTGGGGAATTTTGCCATGGCTGCTCTCTGCTGATGACTGGACCTGTGATGGTAAGGACTCAGAAGGACTGTTGCCTGGAGGCAGGACAGGCCTGCCTCCAGCTCCTCCAACTTGGCTGGGAGTTGCCATAGCTGTAGAGATAACCAAATAAACTGAAGGTAATAGACTCCTTACTATGCTAATCTCTAATCAGAGGTTAGAAATGAGGCTTGTGTGTGCACCTTCTAGAGAAATAGTACTTTTGAACAGGGGTAGCTCTTACCAGATGGGGTTATGAGGATCTGAAGCATCAAAGACAGTAAGGTGCTGAAATGAACAAGCATGAGAAGGAGGAAAGTGATTAAGGGGACATCTGTTCAGTTTCTTTAGCACAGTGGTTCAGTGTCTCCAGGGGTGATTTTCCACTGCACTGCAGAGTCAAACCTCTCAGCCCAGCATAAGCAGCAGGTTCTGGCTTTGGGGAAGGTTGCCATCCACATCCCACCTATACTGTGGCCAGAGTGGTTTCTTGAAGTGTCTTGAAATAGTGCTAGCCCCAATTGCGTTGAAGCATCGAACTCTGCCTGCACAATGTGGAGCTCACCTAAATGTCCCCCTCCTTGCCACAACCTTGCAAATAATTAACCTTTAAGACTGTCAATGAAATAGAGCCATCATTTTTCTGAGGCCTAAATAAAAGCAGCATGGTACTCAGTAGTGATTGCTACCTCAAAGGGGAGTACTGAGAAAAGCACAGATGATTTCTCATTGCCTGCAGAAGTCTTTGCAAAATACTGTCAATAAGAGAAGTTCTCATAAGGAACAGAGAAAAACAGATCAATGAATAAAAATACTCTTTAAAGGTATTTTGTTGTCTCAGTCTCAACTTGCCTGTTTTTCCTGTCAGCTGGCTGGTAAAGTATCTGAATTTGTGCACTGCCTGTCTGCCAAGAGAAAAAAAGCCCTTTCAGCCCTATGAATTCAGGCGTCACGTTAGTTATCTTGCCAAGAGCAACTGAACAGGAAGGTTTAATAGGTTTAATAGCTTGTTTACTAGTCTGCAGCAGACTATCAACTGGGTTTGATAGTTGAGCAGCTGCCAAATATAGCAGAGGTTCCTGACACAAGCTTTACTTTGCATGTTGACATGTTTGTTTCAGGGAAGATTTGCAAACTGGGTGCCAAGGATGGTGTTCAGGAAAGGTAGAGTGGAGTAATATAACTCTGCAGTAAAAACCTGTCACTTGATTGGAGATCTGTGTGAACATACTCAGGAGAGGAAAGCCATAGCTGCATCTGCTGCTGGGTTTTGGCCCTGCTAAGCTACTCCCTTTTCTGTCTGTAGGTGGCTGGCGAATACAAGTATCACCCTGAGTGCTTTGCTTGTATGAGCTGCAAAGTGATCATTGAAGATGGGGACACTTACGCACTCGTGCAACATTCCAGTCTCTACTGGTAAGACAGGCTGCACACTGGGCCAGAGAGCTGCTCCCTGCTGGGTCTGTAAGCCATGTTTAGCTGGCTCAGTGTGGGCCAGCTCAGTGCTACCCTAAGGAATGCCAGGAGGCTGCCTTCTGGGGGAGGGAGGAATGGTGTAAGCACTAAAAGCTAAAACTTACGGTCAATGAAAGAACCTGGAAGTGCGAGTTGGGCAGGGGGGATAGGACACTGCTGTAATGACTTTCTTCACTTTTTTAGTGGAAAATGCCATAACCAGATTGTGCTGACACCGATGATAGAAAAACACTCTACCGAATCTCTGCGTGAGCAGCTGCCTTATACGCTGACCCTCATCTCCATGCCAGCAGCTACCGATGGCAAGAGGGGGTTCTCCGTGTCTGTTGAAGGTGGCTGCTCCAGCTATGCCACTGGTGTCCAGGTGAAAGAGTGAGTATGACCAGGCTGTGTGTAATGGGCATGTCTGTGCTGAGGGAGCTGGTAATTCAGCAGCACTGCTGTCCTGCCAGCTGCTTTAACTGCAGAGGTGACCTGTCTCAGCACAACAGGGACATATGTTTGTGTTTGGTCTCCATTTCACTCTTGTGATGTCCTTAAGTGATAACTTTATTTCTCAGAGCTGTATTCTTCACCGAACACAAAACATTTGGAGAATTGTTTAGGACTAACAGTTTTTGCCATTGGGCAAATGAGGAGCAGCTCACACCTACACACTTGGTCTAACAGTCGCTCCCTGTGTTGATAGATTGGCATGGGTTTATTTCAAAACACCAATATGAAGGGAGCATCAGAGATCAAATGTTTTTTATAATTTTGGCTAAAGTGACTTCATACCCACACTGTAATTCCCCTGTTTAGAGTGAACAGGATGCACATCAGCCCAGATGTCCGGAACGCCATCCACCCTGCAGATCGTATCCTGGAGATTAATGGAGCTCCCATTCGTACATTACAGGTGGAGGAGGTGGGTAGAGTTCTGTTCTGAAGCCTCCTTCTCTTCTGCCTTCCTACAGCTTTTCTGTTTCTTGGCACTGTTCTCCCACATATATACAGTGTGTGTACACCCGTAGTACTCATGCTGGAAGTAGGAATAAGCATGAAGACAAGCTTTGCTACCCCTTGCAGCTGAAGAGGAAAATGTGCAGCTGGAAATGCGATTAGGATGCAGTTCTGATTTTGCGGCATTCAAACGAGAAGGGAGGGAATGAAAGTGTAGGGCTGTGATACCTCGGAGGACAGAGAGGCTGTGAAGAGTCTTCATATATTGCTAGTGAAGTCCACTGTTCTGACCATTTTAGAGGCAGCTGCTAATAGACAAAGCCTCAGCTGGTCCTAGGGATGAGCTTCCCATTGCAAAAAAAAAGTATTTGATGTCTGTATTTACAAGTATTTGATGTATTTATGCAGATAATGGGTGATGCTGAAAGAGTGCAGTGAGAGTACCATTGCCTTCACTATGCAAGGGGTGTATTTACTGTTGATGCTGAAGAGGAGCACAATAGACACCTCTCAGACACATCTCCATGCAGCTTTCGCAAAGCAGGTGTTTGCATCGCTGTTCAGGATAGAAGCCTGTGTCGTTTAGCAACACTTCTGAGATGTGTTGGAAAAAAGTGTTCTGTAGAACTGCAGAACACCAGGTTGGAAGGGACCTGCAGGATCAACTGCTCCAGCCTTTCCTGGTAAACGTGTGGTCTAGACAAGATGGCCCAGCACCCTGCCCAGCCAGCTCTGGAAAGTGTCCAGCGCTAGGGAATCCACCATTTCCCTGGGGAGATTATCCTAATGGCTGATTGTTCTTAATTGTCCTCTTGAGTTCAGTCTGAGTCTCCTTGGGTGTAACTTGTACCCATTACCCCTCATCTTTTCCTTGTGATTCCTTGCAAAAAGAGAGTCTCCATCTTATAGCCACACTTTAAATACTGGAACATGGTCATCAGGTCTCCCCTAAGCCACCTTCTGTCCAGGCTGAACAACTGCCCCTCTCTCAGCTTTTCCTCATATATCAGGATGCCCAGTCCTTGCATCATCTTTGTGACCCTCTTCTGGACCTTCTCTCCCCAGTCCACACTTTTTTTGTACAGGTCATTTGTAGTGACCAGAAAGGAGAGGATCTGAACGGCATGACAACTTCTGTATTACTACCCTGATCGGCCTGCATGCAACTAAACCACAACTGTGGAGTGCTGTCACTGAACTCTCTACTCTGATTGCTGAGGGGCATTCTGCTGCATCTCCTCTATCTCCTGTCGTTGTGTTCCTCCTGTGTGCTATCATCCTGTGCTTTGGTTTGATTTCAGGTGGAGGAGCTGATCCGCAAGACGAGCCAGACGCTTCAGCTGCTGATAGAGCACGACCCTGTCTCGCAGCGCTTGGACAGGCTTCGTCTGGACTCCCGTCTTCCCACACACATGAAGGCGCCCATCTCCCCACGCTCCCTCTCGCCATTGGACATCAAGGAGAATCTAGAAGGAACGCTCCGACGGCGCTCCCTCAGGTGACGGCCTGGAAGTGCTGCCTCTGACCTTGCTTGCCTTTGCCCTGTGCTACCTGGCTGGGTTGCTCTGTGCCTTATGATTGCACATCCCTGCAGAGACATGACTCATCTCTGATATGAGCCTTGCTATAAACCATCGGTGAAGCAGTGGAGAGCTTCAGATTGAGCTATTGACGTGTACTCTCTCCATTACCTTTTGGATGGCAAACTTTCTTTAATAAAAAATACAGAGCTCTACATTTAACATAGAAAAGCTATGAAGTTTTGCAGTTAGCAAATGGAAAGATCTGATTTTTACCAGACTTAAATGGCTGAGGAAGAACGTGTCCTTAAAGGGGATACGGCTGAGACGTGGGAGTTGGGGAAAATCTTGTCTTCCTAGTCTGGAGCACTGAGTTGCTCATGTAGTCATTTACCAGTATTTTAATCTTTGTTTAGAGATAGCAAGTGCTGTGTCTTCACAGCTTCCTCCTCCTCCTGTTCACAGAGCTCCACCTCTGACAGTCCAGGAGATGTGCTGCTGTTAGGCAGCTCTGACCTAGAAGCTGCTCTAGGTTTGTAAAGAGCTTCCATGGTTCTGGGAGAGCATCTGGCTTTTGAGGTACAAAGAGCACTGAAATGCATCTAGAAATGATCTTTAGGAGCTAATGATGGGATATGTTGGACAAAAGGTTTCCTAGAAGCTTCCCTGATCTTTCTGTCTCCTTTGTTTTCTAGGCGAAGTAACAGCATTTCTAAGTCTCCTGGTCCCAGTTCTCCAAAGGAACCGCTCCTCCTGAGCCGTGACATCAGTCGTTCGGAATCCCTACGATCCTCTTCTAGCTGCTCCCAGCAAATCTTCCGGCCCTGTGACCTGATTCATGGTGAAGTACTAGGGAAAGGATTTTTTGGACAAGCAATCAAGGTGAGGGAGGTCCCCAAGCATTCATCATTTACTTTGATTACAGCAGTATCTGCCTATCTCAGGATCCTTTGCCACTGTCTCAGTGGCCTTTGTCTTGCTGATAGTGACTGGTGATGGAACTCACCTGGTTTGCTCAGTGAGATCCATTTCTCTTTCATTCCCTGACCATGAGTGTCTCTGGCTGCAGGCAATCTTGAATTTCCCTTTGAATGCCAACCTTGGGCATACGTACTGAGTTCCTGAGTTAGATTTACAACTCCAGAGTGCCTGTGTCACAGCACTCACCTGGGTAAGGTGGAGAATGGGGAGCAAGCTACACTTTCTCTTACAAGCATCTTTCCTATGAAGAGGTGCATTCAACTTGCCAGTACAGCATTTCTCACCCTCCCTTGGTGTGCCATGCTGGGAGATTTGCCAGGCTGACGTAGTGAGGACATCTGAACCCCCAGCAGAGCCTAAATAACCTGTCAGTGTGCTGTTAGTGGTCAGGTCTTGCATGATTCTCACAGTTAAAATCTCCATTAATAGCAGTTCTCTTGTATTTAAGCCCCAGTCTTGACTGAGGGTGCTTCAGCAGCTATTCACCATGGTGTGGGACTTCTCTCCTTACACTTGTATAAACTTCAGGTGTCCAGCCAGCCACCATATTCATCTCATGCTTCCATGGGAGGTGGTGAGCCAGTACTACAGACCCAATGCTTTTGATCTATACTAATGAGCATTTCTCTTCTCCTCTGCTCATAGAGAAATAACAGGTCCAGGTAAGCAGAACCTTTCCTCTGTCGCATGCTTTTGTTATCTGTGTCCCCAGAGTTAATGGCACAAAGACTTTTGTTTTTCTGCTCAAGTTACCCAATAGCCATCCTGTTCTGGTGCATGCTCTGAGAGTTAAAATTGCCCTCTTGGAGGTTCATGATGACACTTGTTTCAGTTTTGCTGGTATGTCAGCTTAAGAATTCCACATAGCCTTGTCTTGTCTTTGTCTCTTCACTTATCTTTATCTTTGGGTATTAGATGTCCCCGGCTTTCATGTCCCTGGCTGAAATGTGTAGTGTTCCCTGGCTCGTTACTTGTTTATGGATGCTTGATTTCAGGCAGGAGCAGAATATTGTACTCTTGCTTTTCTTGTGTTATTCCATGCATTTGTATTCCACCTGTATCAGCCATGTTATGTCCCATGTTTCTAAACAGAACCAGTATGCCACAGTGTATGCAAGAGCTTATAAACTTCCTAAATACTATAACTGGGTCTTGTGTTCTGGGTTGCAGTTCTAGAGGTTTTCTGAAAGGCTTTTCATTTTAAGGGGTATGAGGCCTTTCTTGAGCTTCACATTGACTGCTTCTGGTGCAACAAGTACTGTATCTGGTCACAATAGTTCCCTTCTGTTCTTAGACAGAAGGTGGCAGTTTAATTAGGTGCAGATCTTAGGGAGACAAAGCTGTCCAAGGTAAGCAACTGAAGGGGAGAAGGTTTCCAGGACAGCCTGTGTGTCAGAATTTGGACCCTTTCTGCTCACTCGTGCACCTGGTGCAAGCAAGGCAGAGCGAGTTAAAAGAAACCTCTGGAATACAGCAAAATGCTAGGAACTAGTTGGATACAGGCAAACAGCTCTTGAGGAGCTGCAAAGGCTTTCTGTGTCCAGAGACTGAATAGCCTGTACATCCCAGTTCTGCTGGCACATAAGTAACTTCTTTAAGCTCATCAGAAACCATCAGGCTTCAGAGTCCCCATAAAACCAAATCATGCAGTAATGTAGATTTGGATTGTTTGGTTTGGTTTCTGATGCAAGTGAACGTGTGTTCCTTTGCTGATTCAAAATGTAGTTGTTAGGGTCTGTGTACAAAATATGAGCATCATGCTGGGCACATACTTTCTGGAATGGAACTTAAGGCATGCACAAGTCCAGAGCTGATCCCTTCAGAGGCTTTGACAGCCTGTATGCATGCTCAGCCATATGCTACCTAATGTGGAGACTTCAGCTCTGGTTCTTGGGATGTTGCTGTCTCCAGGTATGATCCTTTGTCAGTGTTAGGTAGTTCCTGGTTTACGTACAGGATCTTTTCTGAATTCTGCAAGAAGATATTTTATGCTCTTTTCTGCAGATCCCCAGGCTCAGAATTTTCTCCCATCTATTTTCCACTCTGTATGGAAGGGAATGCTGCCCTCTCTTTCAGAAGAGTTGCAAGAGCATTGGAGCTATGTATTCTAGAGCCTTGCCTGTAGCTGTGGTTTCTGTTTCCACCAGGTGACTCACAAAGCAACAGGAAAGGTGATGGTGATGAAGGAGCTGATCCGCTGTGATGAGGAAACACAGAAGACTTTCTTGACAGAGGTAGGAGTAAGATTGCAGTGTGCGGAACTCTCTTCCATCTTACCCATAGAGTGATCGTGCCAGCATCCTGGCAGGAATCAAGGCACTGAGGAGGGAGACAACACACAGGGAGAAGCTGACATGAGCTGAATATTTGCTGCAACAAAGTGTGACTCACACTGAGCACTAGACACGGCTTCAGTTCCCAGTTCATTAATTTTTCAGTGATAAAAAGCAGCCTGAGCCTGAGGCAGGTGGAGCTGTGCACTACATAAAGGATTTATCCTTTGAGCCTCGTGCATAAACACAAATGATGAGGGCCAGTATCTGTAAGATATTTAAGACTCCTGCTGTATTTAAACTGTTTTCTTGTTGGCTGTCTACCATGCTTTTCAAAGTCAGATTTAGCTTAAAGGCAGCTCCCTAAACACCTAATGCTGATTCCAGCCCTGACACATACTGCACAGACCAGGTAGCTGCCCTGGAGAGCTCCTGTCTCTTAAAAGTTTGCCCATCTCAAGAGTGCTCTCCTTAAAGACTAAGATCACGTTAATTGCACAGCATGAAAATGAAGAGGGAACATTTAGTTGATTGCTTAAGATTAGGGTTTGAGTGTACTCCGTGATCCCTAGGGGGGAGCTCTAGCATTGTCAGCACAGAGCAGATCTGCCAGGACTTGTTTCATTATCTTCTTTGGGGTGGGATGTCTCTGCTTCCCAGGTGAAAGTGATGCGCAGCCTGGATCATCCCAATGTGCTGAAGTTCATTGGTGTACTGTACAAGGACAAGAAACTGAATCTCCTCACTGAGTACATCGAGGGAGGCACCCTGAAAGACTTCCTTCGTAATGCGGTGAGTATGGAAGCCTGGTAGACCTCTGCTCCATGAGGCTGACCATGGTGTTGGTTGTAGCAGCCTTACAGTACTTTTGTTAATCTTCTCCTGTGGAGCTGTGTGGAAAAGCTTCTTCATACCTGTGGGTAGCCTGAGGCAGAAATCACTTTCTTCCTGGGGCTGTATTGTCTTTGACTGCTGCAAGAGTCCCTTCTGTTGCAGAAGAATTGCTGTCACTGACTGGCTGGTAAGACAGGCTCTGACCGTTGAGGATTTGTCTTTCAGGACCCGTTTCCCTGGGAGCAGAAGGTCAGCTTTGCCAAAGGAATTGCCTCTGGAATGGTGAGTTGGACTGTCCCTTTATCAGAGTGAACTTCCAGGGTCAGGGTTAGGTACTTCAGTAGGGTGATGTATGAGGGGGTTTGGATGCTGTCTGGCTACTAGTATCTGGCTGTTGAGGCCTTTTAAATGTGAAGGGACACATTCGCCTGGAAATCCCTAATGCCAAGTTTTCTTTCTCTCTTTCAGGCTTACTTGCACTCCATGTGCATCATTCACAGAGACCTGAATTCACACAATTGCCTAATCAAGTTGGTGAGCTACACCTCTGTTCCCCACAGCATGCTGCTCCCCTCCCTGTCATTTTCCTCCCTTGGTTTTCTCCATGTGATTTTTTTTCCTCTTTTGTCAGAATAGAACTGATTTCAGAGAGGCTTTTAGTGCCCTAAACAAGGGAGCTTCATTTTCACATAGGATTTCCCAGACTAATCTAGCTTTCCCTGTTTCTTCATTCTGTTCTCTCATCCCCTTTCCTGTGGTAGCATCTCCTATTAACAGTGTTGTTAGGTGACGTTAGGAGTTCAGCTCTGTTTCTTATCTCAACTCTGAAATGTTCTCTGCAGCTGCTTCTGTTCTTTCAACCACTTGATGACTTTTTTATTGGCACTCAGGATTCAGACAAGTGTGCAGGTGTGTGCACAGGTGTGTGTGCTCTCTCTTTCCGATATGTTAGGAGGCCACAAGATTTTTGTGTAGTTTCATTCCCTCAAGCCTTATCTTTGTTCACTGGCTGAAATATGAGATTAGCATGTGGGCTTCAAATGACCCAGGATGAAAGTCTAAACTCATTCCTGGCCAGGTAGAATAGGAAGGTCTGAAAAGAAAGGTCCAGCTTTGCTCTGGCAGAATTAGCCAAACTGATGGCATTAATGTTAGTGACCACACAGAAAATAAGACAGTGATGAGAAGAAACGATGTGTTGGGATTGTGAATTGGGTATCTAGGCAGCTTGCTGTGCTCATCTGGCTGCAGGAAACCTTGTTAGTTTCTCTTACAGTGTAGTTGACAGCAAACAGGAATTGCAGGCTCTTTGCTCCTCAAAGCAGCTGAGGATAATTGGTGGCTTGTACTAAATCCCTTGTGCAGGATAAGACCGTGGTGGTGGCTGACTTCGGTCTGTCTCGGCTGATTGTGGAGGAAAGGAAAAAGCCCACTTTGGAGAAGCCATCGGCCAAGAAACGAACCCTACGCAAGAGTGACAGGAAGAAGCGCTACACAGTGGTTGGCAACCCCTACTGGATGGCCCCAGAGATGCTCAATGGTAAGAGCCTGATACCAGGGTGCAGGTGAGGTGACAGCCTGTGACAAGGTACAGGGATGATAAGATTACTGAAAGCTTATGAGCCCTAGTAACAACCAAACCTATTAGGGTCTATGGTTTTAGACCTGCTAATATGCAAGCTTATTTATACACACAGGTACCCTAGCTGCTCTGCTCTTGCAGTACCTGACCTGATAAGCCTTTGTACCAGCTGAGGTAATGCTTCTGGCTTGACAGGAGGATTCTTCAGGAGGACAGCAGGTCTAAACTGCCCTGATCTAGATAACAGACAAAAAGAGGCCTGAAATAAAACTGAACCTGAGGCCAATTTCTGTTATAGCCTCATGCTTTGGAAGTGCCCCTTGAGACAGGGAATCATCAGACTCCAGGGTGAGGCTGACATGTGCTGTCATGTAGATCCAGGGAAAAACCATCTGCTGCCAGGTTTGCTGAAGCCTCAGGACTGGGGTGGGAGTGGCCCAAGTGAAGGGCAATCTGGTTTTGGCACACAGCCTTCCATTGCATTAAGGATGAACCCTTAGGGAAAAATCTGCCCCTGCAGGAGTCAAGGTAAGGGTGAAATGCAGTGGAGACAATTTCCTCCTAATAAGCAGGTCTGTCTGGCCAGTTTAGCTAGCTATGACATCAGATGTCTCCACCAGGGAAGAGAGGACTGGGCTCCTCTCCCCAGATTTCTTCTGTGCTGTTCTGTTTTCCTTCTCTCAAGGCCTACAGGCCCTATTAGGAGTCAGGCTGCTTCTTAGAGCCTGTCTCAGACCTGGCATTTGTCAAAGAGGCCGGCAAGAGCATAGTCTGACATCACCTCTGAAAGCAGGGTTGTTTACCAGATTCTGGCTGGGGAGGGGTGTGTCTGTAAGCAGAGAATGGCCTGCTGGAGCCAGCCTGCTCTCCCAGGTTCAAAGTGCTGCCAGTGTGTCATTTATTGTATCTGCAGTCACTGCAGCAGGGACTGGGCATTCCCTGGCTGCTGGGGAAGCTGAACAATGACTCAGTGCACTGTAGAGATGCACTAGAACAGCAATCAGTGGGAATGGGCAGAAGCTTTCCATAGTTAACATTAGGATTTGCTCTACTTCTGCTACACACAGCTTCCCTCTGTTGTCCCTGTAATTCCCCACTAGGAGAAAGGAGTTAAGCAGTGGCAGTGTATAGGAAGATGCAGTTGGTGTACATATCCTGGGGCAGCTGACCCTGCTCAGATTTAAACCCTGCTTTGTCTCCTGTTTTAGGGCCTTCCAGGGAATAGGCGTAGTAGCTTTGGACTGGCAGTTCCTGAAATAGCTGGGTGGGGAACTGTCTCTCCTGGAGCTGAGTATCTTATGTTTCCTGCAGGACAGAGCTATGATGAGACAGTGGACATCTTTTCATTTGGGATTGTTCTCTGTGAGGTAAGGCCAGGACATACATGGCATCTTTAATAGACCTCTTCCCCACAGCCATCTTCTCGCACACATTTCATCAGCTGGTTTTCTGAGTGTGCAGTCTCTGATCTAACAGCACAGTGACTGAGGCTGGGACTACAGGCTCACCCTGCTCTGCTTCCTCAGGGAAGATAACTGTCTTGTTTCTTCCTGAGCTGAGAGTAACTGTTAAAAAGTCCATTAGGTTCTGACTGAGCCCTGGTATCCATTTGCAAGTAGATATATTCCCTAAAACTGTGATCCTTTTTGCCTCTTCTACTGCCTCATTAAAAGACCAGTCAGCTGTATCTCAGCAAATTCAGGGCCTCCACTGAGGATGGCACTTCACTTCAAAGAATGGGAAACAGAAACCTCTTTGCAGGTCGATTAATGAAGCTTGCACCCTGAAGTCTGTTGCTTAGTTTATCTCTTGAGCCGATGCACAGCCTTACCATTATAGCAGTCCTTTCTGTTTCCAGAGCAAAGAGCACAACTCAAAAGCTGCAAGGTATTTTCAGTTTAAAAGGTAAGACAGTGAAAACAGAGATGAAAAGCAGAGTGTTACATGTACTGATAACACAGCAGTTACAGGGACACCAGGGAAGACCAGCACAGTTTCATCTTCAGTGTCTGGATGAAGAGGACAAGGAAAGTATCTGTGCATACATCTCTGTGGCCTCATCTGGAGCTCTATTTATGCTGGGCTCTCCTCTCAGAGAATGTTGTGGTTGTGAGTGATAAATTTAGGAACTTGAAAAATTTGTTTGTGGAATTATAACAATTGTTTCATCTAGAAAAAAATATAGTAGCAGAGAAAGCAGACAAATAGGGGTAGGATCACAGGAACATTTTGCTTGTCACCAAGATAAAGATGCTAAAAAAAGATGTTACACACTCAAACAGATAAGAAAATAATCCTGCCAAAATACATAATGGGCGTTCCACTGTCTAGTTACAGGATGTGGTTGTCCTGCTGAGCTGTTGGCACAGAAGAGCCTGGGTGGTTATAAATAACACCCTCTTTGTAATACCAGTGAGGCTTTAAACCCAATATTCTTCCCCATGTGAGCATTTGTATTGACACTGACCTTGACTGCTCTGTGCTGTGGGTTCCTTCCCTCCTATTACACTTTGAGTCCTCTAGTGCTGGAGGTGGTGAGCACTGGGGTGTCTCAGTGCTGGGGCAGGGCTTCCTTCTCTTCCACCCAGCCCTTTCCTCCAGCAGCTCTGCCTGCAACCTCCTGAGCTTTGGTTCTGGTTGTTCTCTCCACCCCTCCCATCTGGCTGTGGAGTCGAATCTGCCAATAACAGAGGAAGTCAGAGTATGTGGTGCTGTTAACTTCACAGCATCTCTTAGGACAGGCTCCATAGAAAGAAGTTGTGCTGGTGATGGATGATGCAGGTTGTGTTGGTTACCTGCGATCAGGAGGGGCTGCATCACCCCAGCAGCATACAGCACGGTTGCTGGCACAGCAGGAAGACAGGGTTGAGCTCTCTGGGAGGTGCACATCACCCTGCATCTTCTAGCAGAGACCCTGGGGAGATGCAGAAGGCATCTGGGCCTTCCTTCACAACAGCAGCCACATCACCATGTCTTATAAAAGCTTAACATGCGGTTTGTCTGTATGCAGTACAGTGTGCAACTGGCCCCATTGGAAAGCAGGAACAGTGTTTCTGCTCTTTCCCTTTCACCCCGATACTTTGATGGGGCCCCTGCCTGGTGCTGATGTTCTCTGTTTGTTAACATCCTGGAACTGTTGCTGTACTTAAGCTCTTCCCTCATTTTTCCCTAGATCATAGGCCAGGTTTATGCTGACCCAGACTGTCTCCCACGCACACTGGATTTTGGCCTTAATGTCAAGCTGTTCTGGGAGAAGTTTGTTCCTGCTGACTGTCCTCCAGCCTTCTTCCCTCTGGCTGCTATTTGCTGCAGACTGGAACCAGAGAGCCGGTAGGGCTGGGATTTGGAGGGCTCCTCTTTGTAAACTTGGAGGATGTGTCTTTGTCCCCTTAGTGGAAGGACTACTCTGCACAGAGGGTGGAAGAGGGCTGTATTCCAGCCTTCTGTGGGAATGCTCAAAGACTTACATGTGAGGAGAGACTAAAGACTTACTAGCTTGGGAGAGACTGCTGTATATGGCGGAGGTCTCTGAAACAGTTCCTGAGACAGAGGGTAGAGGAGGAGTGGTTGTTCAGGGTTTCTCATGTACTAAAGTAGAGGCAGACCTTGGCACCAGCTCTGAAAGGTGAATGCTTCACAACAGTGTTGATGCCAAGTGGGTTCCAAAAGAGCCAGACCTCCCGGTCATCAGCTGTAAAAACAGGTAGCCCAGACAGATGGGATCTTTGCAGTCTCAGAAGCTGAGTGGGGAGGGATCACGTCCCTGCTCACACCTCTGTGTATGGGACAGTGGCTGGATGGACAAGTGCCTCAACCTTTTCAGATGCTGCTGTGCTTCCTCTTTCCCACTCACATTTCCTCACTGCTGCTTCTAGGCCCCCTTTTTCCAAGCTGGAAGATTCATTTGAAGCTCTCTCCCTCTACCTGGGAGAACTTGCCATCCCCCTTCCATCTGAGCTGGAGGAGCTGGACCACAACGTGAGTGTGCAGTATGGACTGAACCGTGACAAGCTACCTGACAACACAACCTAGTCAGCTCATCCTGCTGCCTGCCCCGCTTCATTGGAGCTGAGTGACAGGGAGGGAGATGCACTTCAGCCACTTCCAGGGCATTAATGGAGCACCACACTGTGCATTTGCTGCATTGCCTCTCTCTCCCCACCCAACACCCCTCCTCTTGGACATATGATTCACTGTGGATTTTTGGCATGTTTCAGAAGCAAAATGGGCTGTTTCCTGCCAACTGCACCTAGGAAAGCTGCTCAACACTACTTTTATGGCTTGAGAAGTGTTTCTCTGGCCTTTCCAGGCTTCTTTACTGTGGTGCCTTAGAACTTGGCTGCAAGCTGTGAAGCCACCCTGGCCTGTCTGCCAGGGAGGGATTTGCTATAGGAGACTCTCCTGGGTAAGGACCAGCACTTCTGGAACTGCTTCTCCCACTGACTACCCTGCACAGAAAGCAGGGAAATTGGACATCCAGCAAAAGGCCCCACCAGGACAGTGTGTGTGTGTGTGTGTGTGTGTGTGTGTGTGCATGTGCTTTCCAGAATAACCCACTGAGATTTTGGCCTCCAGGTGCATCATAGGGGAGGAATTGAAAGCCCCAGGGATTGGGCAGCTCTCCTGAAATACCTTGTCTGTGGGGAAGCATGTATGAATTCTTGTTTTAGTTTGGTTTTGTGGGGTTTATTCCCTCCTCTGTCTCTGAATACCTCCAAAAGCCTGCCTAGAAACACTAAGACTGAGCTCTGCTTGCCCCTCCTAATGGTGATCAAGGCAGGTGAGCTGCTTGAGCATCTTCAGACCTGAGCCTGCACCGTGAGTCTGCCTGCCCAAGAACCTTAACCTAGGTGAAAGTATTTGAACCCGAATGTATAGAACTGTGCTAAGCACTGACTGTGGACATCCCTGGAGTGCTGAAGCTGCCTGAGCTCTCGCCCTGTGGACATGAGGTGACGGAAAGGGTGGCAGAAGGTTCTCTTCAGCAAACCAAGGGTTTGAAGTGGCTCAGACTTTGTGCATGGACAATGATAAAGGGGGATAACCCCAGAGTTACTTTAAGGATGGACTTGCCATGAACAGAAAAGTGCTGGAGAATGTCCCATTCTCCCAGGAGTGGCAGCTGGAGAACTAATAATTCAGTTGCCATTACCTCATCCTTTCCTGCAGTTGCTCCCTTTGAAGGTCCTTCTTGCCTCTGCTGCTGCAGCACCTGAGCTGATTCTCCAAGCAGAAACTTTCCTCAGGATTATTCCCTGCTTTGGGGGAGAAAAAAAGGGCTTGGAGTCATTGGGAGGGGTGTGTTTGGGGGTGTGCTCTCTTCCAGCACTTCTCTTCTTCCTCCCTTGGAGGGAGAATGAAGGAAGGCCACTGCTGCAGTAGCTCACATGGTTGGCAGGACAGAACAAAACGTGGCTCAAGTCCTGCTCTCAAATTTCACAGACACCTTGGTTTAACTGGATTTTTAGTGTGCTCTTTTCTCTCCCCACTCCCTTCAGTATTGAATGGTGGGGAATGGGTGTTTGTCTTTGCTGTTACTTTGATTTCCTCCCCTACCCGTGAGTTTAAAGTATTATGTAACATAACATGGGACCAGGCATCACCTGACAAAAGGTGTGAGTGTGGGGGTGTGGTTTTAGTCTGTGTAGTGGTGTTTTAGGAACACTGGGGGACTCCCTGTGCTGTGAGTCAGTGGAGGAGCCTCTCAAAACTGGGTCCAGTGGATTCAGGATTGTTAATAGGATTTGCCCTTTCTTTTCCCGTTCCAGGTTGGTTTGTGTGGGGACCCCTGAAGGGGAGAGTCCTGGGTGATGTGTGGGTGGGGGTTATGAACTGTGATTTGCACAGCTCCATGTTCTAACTAAATTAAAAAGCATTAAACATGCTACAAAAACAAGATGTGGTTGTCTCCGGTACATCGAAAAAATGGGAACAGCAAAAGTGCAGAGGTCAGGTATCACCTAGGACACCCTTCCTTGAGCCCAAGGGCTCTGCCACATCTACAGAATTCTAGAGATGCAGTGCAAGTACTCTACAGTACTATTTACCTGGAATGATGGAAGAACTTGCCAAGGTTTTTTTAAGAGTGGACAGGAGTCAGCAGAAAATGAAGCCTCTCTCCATTTTCCTTTTCTGATCCAGGGATAAAAATACAGATGGAAACATCTTACTCTGAAATATGTAGTTCAAGAGGCATTTGTGAAGGCAACAACTGAACGAGAATGCTAGCTATGTCAGTGCCTCCCGTAACCTGCTGTGCTCTGTCCCTGTCATGCTTTCCACTGCAAGGCCCTGGGGAATGGAGCTGCTGCTGAGCAGCACCAGAGCAGAATTGACCTGTGTCAGGGCAGGAAGGGGCTGTAACTGATAGCATCTTCCCACAGGCCAGCCCGTTTAGTCAGCACAGCTCACAGACCCACAGCTGCTCTTCAGGAACAGCGTCCCAGTTCAAGACCAGCTGCTGGCAGCAAGGACATAAGCTCCATGCCTCTTGTCAGTGCTGGTGAGTGGAGGCACTGCCTGTAGGGATTTACCTGGGGCATGGCAAACTGACATGACGTCTTACCTTCTCCTCACTTTGAAGTCTGCAACAAGCAAAAGGATGGTGCTCTGGCTGGAGGAATGTATAGATGAGCCACAGTCCACACAGGTCCACTACATTGCATTTTTCTTTTAAGCTTTAATACAAGGTAGCACAATCTGCACCTTCTCATGAGGTATTTAAAACATTTTACAAAGAAATGGTATTCAAAGGCATTTAAAAATAAAATGTTTCCCTTTTCTGAATCAAACGCTAAAACCCCTGCTGACAAGTGCTGCTCCCTGTTAGGCCCACAGCTATAAAGCAGATGGCTAGAAAACTTACTTGAATGGCTTGAATCCCCTGAGGTGGGGATGGGTGTTTCCCTGAACTGGCCTTGCCTTGGTGCCTTCTGGGAGACACTGCAGCAACCATCCCTTCCAAACCCCCTGAAATGCTAATAAAAGTTGTTACAAAATGCCAGGCTCTGTAAGCAAGTGGTCTTGCTGCACAAGCTGAGAGTGTGTGAAGGAGGCTGAGCCAGGAGCCCTGCTCTAACTTCAGGATCTTGCAAGAGCAGCTGCTGTATCCTGCCTTTAGAGCAAGAGCTGCTGTGTCATGGTCAGGGTGACCTCCATAGCTGCTTGGCCACTCTGTCCAGAGCTGGCTCTGCGGAAAGCCAAGGGAATTCGGAAGAGGCTGTTATCTATCCACAGTGCTCCACCTGCTGTAGGTAACTGAAGGGCAGTTTGTTTTCTTCACAACTGTCTACTGCTGGCCTTTGGTCTCCTGTAGTCAGTGAGCAGGAGACACAGACCACCTGGATACCTGCAACTGTGGCTGTTCACGTAGCACCACAGGGGAATGGAGATCTGGCCTCTGCCCTGGAAGACCTGGATTTATCAATAGCTTGAGAAGAGCTTTTCCAAACTGACACTAGGCTAAACATACAGCTTCCGGCCAAAGTCAACCCTCAAATAAACTCTTTCTTGGAAAAAGAAACTGCTCCAGTAGCAGGATTCTGGACAGCGTCTCCAGCTCTCAGCCACTAAAGCAAAAAGGCAGGAACTATAATCAGTGTAATTACCAAGCTAAGCCTGACATGAAGCTCCCCTCAGTCCCTGTAGTACTGCTCCCTCCTGGGGTTCCAGGCTGAAACTTAAGTAACAGTGCACACCGTTAAATAGGAAAGGAACAGAAAAAGCCAAGACCATGCTCCAGGCTATGGGATCTGCAACCACGTGAGAGCCTGGCCCGTCATCCCCCCCAGCTCCCTAGCACACCATGGAGACAGGTGGGAGGAAGCAGCAGGGTCCACCACACCAGTCCCCAGCCGGTCATGCACTGAATGGTGCCCCTCAAACAGATCGTGATGAATAGCCCATTGTTCTCTCCCTCTGCATCACCTTCATCTGGCTTTCATCAAAAAGAAAACAAAATAGAAATGAACACACGCACCCCCCGCACTCACAGTGGGAAGCTGGAGGCTTTGCTCAGCCTGTATCGCTCCTGCCTGAGCTGCTCAGGCACCAGGAGTACCCGCCTGCCCCATGAGTGGGCCACCACCATCCTGCGTGTCCTCCACAGGTGTCTGGTTAGTGTGCACCACGATTGTGCTCTCATCTACAAGCTCGCAGGCTGGATTGCTGAACGCAGACAGTGGCAGTGTGATACGCTGCATTTCACGCTCATAAACTTTCTGTTCATGCTTTTCCTTCAGGTCTTTCCCCCTAGATTAAAAACAAAAGAAAACAAAACAGATGTGCATGGGTGCCACTGCTTGGAGGCAGTCTCAATAAACATAATACAATAGGAAAGAAGGAACTCTGCTCTGTAAGAAACATTTTCAGTTACATACGAAGGGCCAGAAGCATTTTCTACTGTAAGCAGAGGACCCCATTCAACTAGCAGCCAGGTGAAGTTTGTTCCTCCCTCAAACTGTCATATTCACTGACATTGCTACTGCTAAATCATGATGGTAAAGCCAGGGTTCTTCAAACCATGGGTCTGACAAGTGTTTCCTTATACCTTATAGTCCTACAGTACTGCCCAGTGCAGGCCCAGAGGAGCAGTGAGACAGCACAGAGCCCACTGCTGTGGAACAGAGCTTCCATAACCTGCTTCATCTGATAGAAACAGGTATCAGAAGTGGTGACAGATTCTGCTTTTTCTTGCAGCAAACAAATGTGTGTAACAAAACGAAGCCATTCCTTAAAGTAGTAAAGCTTACTTCAGAGCTGGCCCTGCCTTCTGCCACTGCAACTCTCAGTACCACAACCAGTTCCTCAAACCTGCCTCAGTCTTCAGCCTGTTGCTAAGGAAGGCAAAACCTCTGTAATTTGTACTGAGGAAGACTGTCTTGCTTTAAGAATGGATGGCATTAATAGCATGTTGTCTCCAGAAAAGCTATGTATATCAGAAGCTACTAAACCCATTAAAGGTTTCTCACCACACCTACCCAAACCTGCCAGCTTGCACATGCAATTTTTAGAGCAAGGCAAGAAGAGAGACAGCAAACCCGCACTGCAGCGCTGCCGTGAGCTCTCTGGGATTGAGGAAGCAAAGCTGCATTTGGACAAAACCCAACACTCTCTATTGCTTCTTCTCACCAAAGACAGGAGTGCAATGGGACAGAACTGCTCACTTCTCCTGCAGCTTGTGATCCCAACCAGGCAGAGCTGCTGGGGTTTCCTGTCAGCACATGAGCAGTTTGGCTGCTTCTCAAAGCTGCCTACAAGCGTGCAGCAGTGGCTGCGTTCCTGCCAGCATACGAGACAGCGTTCTCTGAAGTGACACCTCACATCAGATTCCTCGACAAGCAGTGCTGTGTTTTGCCCCTTATGTAACACTCCTCCCTCTGTTTTTTTTCTGTCGGCATTTATTATAAACACTTACATAAGGACATGTCCCAGCTTGGGAAAGGGCTCCTTCTGCTTGGCTGTGTCAGACTGCTGTCAAGCAGCCAAAATACAGAGCAAACCCTCCCAGAGGAGGCAGCCTGGCCCTTCACTTGCGGCAGGGACATTCACTGCTATTTGTTAATCCTGCCCTGTCTCTTACAACTAAGCTGCTTGCTATTACCACTAACCTCAAACTGCTGAGCTACAGAAGCATTCCTGTCCAACAGAGTGAACCTGGATGAACAAATAATAACTTAAGTGTGAATCAAAACTGCCCTTAAAGTATATGAGAGCTTCAGTAAAATGAACTTGGACCAAAAACAAGAAGTGCTACTTGATATTCAGCTTCATAGGATACAATGCATGAGTGGCAAGGAATTTGCCAATTGTTTTTCTTCTAAAGCTAGCTAGGCTAGAGAAACCAGGGGAATAGGTGGCCTGCTAAAAGGACTGTTCTTTCTCTGCTCGCAAAAGAAACTTCCTGTGAGGGCACGTGGGATCTGTTCTCTGCAGCTCTTACGTAAAATCAGCTCCTCTGGATGCATCTGAGAAAGCCACATCAAAGCACACGTGCACACACGCTCACAAAGGCAAAAAATAAGAGGGCAGTGTTTGAAACTTTACATGGGACAGAAGAGCATGCTGACGGGTGAAATGGAGAAGAACGGGATTAACTCTTAAATAGTTCTTTCCTCAGTGCAACAAGCGAAACTCTTGCACAACGTGCCATATCACAATATATGCTACTGCCTGCCTTTTCACTGGTATCTGGTGATCTGCAGGTGCTCAGACATTCCTGTTCCTGCTCTAAACTGCCTCATGCTTCCAACTTCTGAATAAAGGACTAGCTACTGACCTCTTATAGATGTATCCCAGGACAATGCCAGCTCCAATAGCAATAATTATCACCATCATGATCAGCCCCAGCACGTACCCTGTAAAGAAAGAAAGGAAGAGACAAAATTAGAGACAGTAGATCCAGCTATAGCATTGCCTCAAAATAAATCTGTCCTGCCAGAATTAGAGGAATGGATCCATCACATGATTCTGGGTGTGTACCTAGTGTCCCTAAGTCCTTCTTTTCTTTGGAGTTCATCTGCACTCTCTGACTGATCCCAATGACGGGTTGCACAGCTGCTGCCTCACTCCGGGAGGGCAAGGTATCAGCCGGTTCAAACACCTGATCCACCTCCTCAGAAGTACCAGCTTCTTCTGTAGAGACTGGGGCTGTGGCAGCTGTAGCATCTGTTGAGAGGAAAAGGAGCTATACAGAATAACCAAGCATTGATGAGTACTTCAAAACAACACACCCCTTGTGAGTGGGACAGATCTAGACTGGTATTACTGAACTGCCTTCAAAGTACACTGACAAACTCTTGTTCCCTCTTAAGTTCTTGCCCGAAATCCTACTAAAACAGAGCAGAAATGTCCCCCTCCCTCCACTTTGCTTTCACACAAACCTA